AGGAGAGATAGAAATATTCATGAGAGAGAACATTGACTGGCTGCCTCCTACATGCCCCCAACTGGGGATCAGGCCCACAACCTGGGCATGTGCCCTGATCGGGAATTGAACCAGCGGCCTATTGGTGCAGGGTTCGATGCTCAACCACTGAGCCACACCGGCCGGGCTACAATACAGCACTGCTAACTACAGGCACAATGTTGTACAGCAGATTTGGGGGTCTTATTCATCTTGCACAACTGTGACTTTGTACCCCCAAGTAGTGATTCCTCCTCCCTGAAACAAGAAAATCTTGAGCTGTGGTTCTGTCTTACATATCACACACATGCCGCCTGCCCCTTGGCCCAGTTTTTGAAGAAACAAAAACAATTTGTGGGAGAACAACCACCATACTGACTTGTTCTTACCACGATGAGCAGGGGAGGAGAAGGTGACTGTTCATCAGAAACAGTGATTCACTGAAGAAGAGATTGCAAACTGGTGGCCCTCAGACTTTTTGTTTAAAAAAAAAGAAAAAAAAAGAAGTTGCTAACATTTGGAAATCATATTTCACAGAAATATCTGTATTTTCAGTTTCTCCAGAAAGATCACGCTTGGCACCCGTGGCCTCTCATGCCCTGCCATTGGCCCGCGAGCCGGAGCTGCACAGCTGTTGCCCACTGTTATGGGAGAAATGGGCTCCCCAGACTGCCACTGTCCCCAGGGATCCCTCCTCTTCCACACCTGGCCTGCCTTCTTCTGCACTGGACCTGCCTGGCTCTGTAAGCACCCGAGTGTGCAGGCCCTGGTGTAGCACAAGAAAGAACATTTGCTGAGAACGGCCAGTCACTGTGGTCTCGGTCTCACACTCCTCGGTCACTCACCCGAGCATGATAGGATGTAACATAACGGTGACCACAATCTTACTCTGTTCTAATTTATTAAAAAAAAAGAAATCATTTGCAAACTTGGGTCCTAGTATTAGAACAAACTAGACCATATCTGACATTTGTCCACAACAAACTATAATCAAAAACCTCCGACAGAGAAATCTGCTTTCGTGCTTCCCAGCGTACAGTCTGCCTTTCCAACAGGCCTGACCGGTGATGAGACCACTGACAGTTTCACAATCGAATGGAAGGGTGTGAGGCGTGTAAGACGGAATCAGTCCTTCTAGTTCATGTAAGTATAGGTACATGGAAATGGTTCTTGTATTAACTCTGTCCATCATGAAAGTATGACATTCGTGGTATCATGTAAAATTATTTAGGAAAAAAATGCAGAATGCTGGGCGTCCCAGCCATAAGCCCATTACTTTGAAAAACTGAAGAGAAACATTTCTGAGACAGGTTCTGCATTAAAACAAACCTACGTTAAATTGGCCACTTGAATAGAACAACTCTCTACTCCCAAACTGCTCCAAATATCTCTGTCTCAGTAGACTACGGAACGAGCGTGTGTACCAGGGTCGGTAGGAAGGGAACAATCTCGAGATACTGGGGAAGTGAAGGCTGAGTTAAACGAGCCCTCCGAAATGGAGAGCAATTAGACTAGGAAGGTGTTCTGGCCTGCAGAGAAACCCCTTGTTCCTAATGTGTACGATTTATGTCCAAGACTACGATGTAGGGAACACAACTCATAATATAGAGCACAACTGCCTAATACACTGCCATAAACACACACACACACACACACCATCCCAGGTCCTTAGATTCCTGTTTCCCTTGGCTAGACAGGTGTATACATAGTCGCTATGTTGAGAAAACACTGGGCATAGGCTTTAGCCTGTATATAAATTCTCAAACGTTATTTTCTACCAAACCAGGGCTCCATCCCTATGAGGGGATATCTTATACAGAGGGTATGCACACTTTTATTGAAGAGTGTCCACTCTAAGGTACTTGGGCACTTGCCTCTGAATGAATCATTTGCAGTGAATGTGTTACAGAATACCTGCTGCAATGCATCAAATGGGAGGCGCCCTATTTTTAACAGACAAGGACTCTATGCCACACTGTTCTATCTGCAATAACAAATCATACAATTGGATTAAGACTGAACACTTTAATCAACTATAATAAATCAATATATATTATATAAAAAGTCTGACTCATGCATCAGATTACATACATTATACAATTGTCACATTATGCAAGGCTTATATACTTTTGAGTTTGTACCTGTAAAAATGTATACAAGTCACTAGAGCATTTTACTTAATAAGTGTAATACCCTTCAGTTATAAATAATGCTTATATCTTTCAAATACCTGCTAAATATACACATTTCTAGATCTGCAGCATTCTTTTGTACCTCAAAATACAAACCATCTGGAAGCTTCGAAGATTAATAGACCCAATGTATCATTTGTTACAGACTTCAATTCCATGATAAGAGGGGATTTTTTGACAGTGAAAAGAAATGAAATAAAACGCTCAGTCGAGTTTACTGCTCGAAGAGCTTCTACACTACTTGCTAAATAGATCCGAAAACCCTTCAGACGTAGATTCGTTAGTTAAGGTGCTACCTACTGCATGTTAAATACTTGCGATCATTGCATCTGGATTATGAAAGTTATAAATCTGTGAAAATGGGGGCTTTCAAATGTGCGCTGACAGACCCCTACGCTACCATCACGAACCAGCAGCACTGTGATCCTTTACCTCTTACTTCAAAGAGAGCGAGTGAGCGATCATGCTTTATTCGCCACTTACACACGCACAGTGACACCTAGCACAGCTACAAGACATATGAGCACACGAACATCAAAAAGTCCCAGCCTGGCTTACAAATCCAAGGTAGGGAGCTTTTCCGGAGAAGCCGCAGAGGCAAAGAAAAGCTCTGGTGTGATAAGGACTAGGTATATCAAAGACAGTTCATTCTCTGTACTTTTTATTTTTTAGACTTCCTTGCTAAAGAATAAGCACCCTTCTGGGGGTGGGGGCAGGGGGGTGAGGGCAGAGGAGTGGGTGAAGGCAGGACGTGAGGGAAGAAAGGCTGTCACTAATGAGCTGGGTTTTACTTAGGTTTCCAGTCATGAAACCCTTTTAAATACAAGGCAACATTTTCACAGCTGGAAAATTACAACTAAATCTTCATTTACTGCCAAAAGCAATAGATGTAGTTATGTATAATCTATGGATAATACTACATTCATGGGAGAATGGCAAAACTATGCAGAGTACAGCAGCCAAAAGCAATACTTACACGTCTCTCATGAATGGGTGACACGCCGTTTATATACAACTCTAAGATATGACCCTGGTTTCAATGAATGACACTGGGAGCACAAGCGGAAGGCCAGTATGTTTGACATTTTCAAAACTGAATTTTAAAACTGGGAGGGAAACTGGATATAAAATACTACTTTAAAAATAATAGAAATATTTTTATTACATAAGTACATTAACTTAAGCTAGGTTTGAGATAAATCTCAACTCTGTTGTTTTTTTAAAGAAATCCTCTTACTGGTGGAAATATTTTTGAGCATGCATTTTTAAAGCATAAATAAAATCTGTTTATAAGTCTATAGTGCTGTGCATTATTTAATGAGTACATATATTTTATTTCCGTATCTAGGTTACTAACAGAATATACCACTAGAATACTTAAAAGTTACATTTTGGAAAAACAAACGAAGGTGTCTTTTTGGCCATCCTTCTACAATGCTAGAAAATAAAACTACTCTGTGTGCATTTCTGCCCAAACACAGGAAAACACTGATACGTTTACTGGGGAACGCATTGAACTTTTTGTTTGTAGTTTATTATATTGAGAGATTTTGAAAATAAGTAAGGTGTACTCTGGGTCATGAGTAAAAATTCATAAACATCCAAACAGAATGTTTTTAGGCAGTGATAAATACAGGTTGGGTTTTCAATAGAATTCTTGTCTCAGATTTAAAGATAAAAATATTGAGTCAGTTATAACCAAATCTCTCACGTGTGGATAAGTCTAATTCTTAAGTTTTTATACAAGCAAAGAATGACTCCTTAAAAATGAATTTCCTCATAAAAAGAATAGTAGTTACTTGAACTACTTTTTAATGAGCTCTGTTCATATAAAACATATTCCCAATACAAAACCAAAATCTTGGTTCATTCGATAGAGAGTAAATTTGGCCAAAGCATATTAAAATATCTGCAAATAGCCCAGCTGGTGTGCCTCAGTGGTTGAGCATTGACCCATGCACCAGGAGGTCGCCAGTTCAATTCTGGATCAGGGCACATGCCCAGGGTTGTGGGCCCAATCCCCAGTGGGGGGAATGCAGGAGGCGGCCACGTTCTCTCTCATCAATGTTTCTCTCTTTCTCCCCCTCTCCCTTCCTCTCTCTAAAATCAATAAAGAAAAAAATTTTTTTTAATATCTGCAAATGATCGGTCATAATACTAAAAACACATGGATTTTAGTGTGTTTTTTTTTATCCTCACCCGAGGACATTTTTCGATATTTTGTTCAGATAGAGTGGGAGAGAGAGAAACATCGACGTGAAAGGGACACATGGAGTGGTCGCCACCCACACGACCTAACCAGGGCCAGGGACAAGCTGCAACCGAGGTATGTGCCCTTAGCGGGAACCGAACCCGGGTCTCTCTGGACCACAGGCCAACGCTCTAACCACTGAGCAACTGGCCAGGGCTGGATTTTAGTGTTTTAAAAAAACTGTAAGAGCTTCAATTATGCCAACAACAGAAAAAACAAATGCTAAGAATTTTCTAATATTTAATAAATATTAATTTTAAATGGCACCATGTTAAAAATAATAGTTATTAAGACTTCAAACAGGAAAATAAAATTCTACTCTAGATTTTGAGGTTTATTAAAGAAATATATAAGAAGGAAAAAGTGGGTAAAGCTATTTTTCCTTCTGCATTTCAAAAAAGTATTGAATTTTTGTATTTGGAGAAATTTTTCAGAATTTTAAAATGTTCTCATAGGAAAAATAAAGAAACTCACAAAATAAAAATAACAAGGGATTTTAGCTTATGAATTAAATATAAGCTTAGTCAAGTATTACCTGATTCAAAATACTAAAATGAGCAAAACTATTATATCTGCTTTATATTTAACTTTCAATAAAGTCTTAGTAGAGATGCATACCAGACAGATATGCACTTCACTGAAAGATTAAGAAATATATGTCTCCACATACAGGTGTGTTTTTCATTTTAAATTCAGAAGAGACAGATTCAGTGTTTCATAGTATTTTAGAGTTTAAGGTAAAAAAAAAAAAAAGCAGTAGATAGTAATATTCTTACACCCATTGTTTTTCACTTTAAAGTTCAGCCTAATTTTGTACAACTATCTAAAGATAATTCATGGAAGTATTCAACATATTTGGGGATCAGACTTATTTAAAAAAGCTGACATGTAATTCTGTGATAAATCAATCCGTAAAGGGTAGATGCTGAATAATGTGTAACGTCATGCTAGTAAAGATCCGTTCTAAAAACTCACTTCTCCTTTAGTAACTGTTGTTTTGGTTCAAGACTCAACTGCAACCATCTGTTCTATTATTTATGCAACTTGAAACCAAGCCTAATTCTTGATTCCAAGAATTTGCCCACTGTTTTGGGTTATCAGACATCAGATAGATGATCATCTACTTTTACCCTCCCCAGATTATCTTCAGCTTTAACTTCTTAATATTTTCTTTGCTAGTGATTTATAGGCATTCAGAATCTCAACAAATTACATTAGCTTATCTTCTGCTTATAACTTAGACAAAACTCGAACGTTAAGATAAAAAATGAATTAGAGAAATCCATGCTTTTGTGAAGTCAATGAAGTTTCCTAAAATACGTCCTTCTTTTAAAAAGCCTTTGGAGCATTACTTTTGGACACAGAGCAAAAATCGGATGCTAGAGCAACGCACAGTAGCAGCTCCTTTGGAAACCAAGGTTCCGAGTCAAGAGTGATTTGAAGCAACTCCTCTGGAACGAGCCGTGATACGGCAGCAGGAACGGCGCTTTGCTTGGAGTCAATAGAGCACATACATTTTCAAATTAAAAAGTTGGTCTCCTCGTTTTAGAGGCAACCAGTTTTTAAATGTCTTAAAAACACATGTATATGTGAGGTATATGCATGTATTTCATATGCAAAGATACATGAACTTATATTCATGTACATATATGTGTATATAAAATATGAACTGTTTTTTAAAGTAGTGTTAGATACGATGAGCAGTATTCCTGCAGCTCGACTGTCTACAAATTGAATGCTGAGAAACCAACCACAGTATCAAGTTAGGAGAAATCTATTCCTGAGGAATAAGCCGTGTACTTCTGAAGACATCTCTAGGCCTATGGCAGGTTAGCGGGCTGGCTCCAGCACCTAAGTGAATCCTAAGGGACTGCTTATTTATTGAGAATCTGGCCCATTTTCACTTTAAAAGTTTAAATTATTTAGCTCACTTCAAAGGTCACTCTTGATAATCCCTGCTCATATTTACAAGTAAAACAATGGTGGAGAGCATGTACTGAAACCTGAAAGTGTAGTCCTTTTGGTAACAAGTCTTTCTTTTTTCTTTCCTTCTCTTCCTTTCTTTCTCTCTTTCTTCCCCCAGTTATAAACAAAGTGCAGTTGGCTGATTAACTGTTGGAGAACTTGCCAGCCCTCCTGGACGGCTCATACGGCACTCTGAGGATGCTGGGCGTCTCCTCCATGACCCTCACGAGGAGGTTGTCGATGTAGTCCTCCAGCTCCCGGATGTGGGTGTCCTTCCTCCGCAGGAGCTCCTTGTGCTGCACCAGCTCATGCAGCACCTCCTCATAGGTCAGGCTGCGATACCCTGCAGTGGCATCAAAAGGGTTGCTGTCCTAGAACAGGATAAAGGACTGTCACTTTAGCAGATGTGGTATTAGGAACAAAATCAGAATTATTTTGAACTTCCACTTGTGCTTTTTCACATCCTGATCAAGTTTTTCTCTGTCCGTGGTTAGAACCAATGCCACAGCTCAAAGCACGGCTGGTCAGTTCTGAGGCAAGCACTAGGTCAGACACACCAAAGCCTCTATTCTCATTCTAAATTCTTCTGCACCCTTTTTTTTACAATGTGGACAATGTCCTAATAAAAAAAAAAATGACATACAACTTACGATTAAGATGGAATGTCCTATAATAAATATAACTAAAATAGATAAAAATTAAAAATCTCTAAATATTAACTTGGACAACTATAGGAAGTTGTTGAAAAACTATACATTTGGACATTAGTTTAGTCCTAATGGAATTGCTTCCACTGAACTGCAGTTTAACGTTGTGACTTTGGCTTTTCTGTTGGAGATGGTTACAAGAGACAGCAATATCAAATTTGCTTCTTGCTATACAATGTTGAAGGCATTCGGAATTAAATCAATGAGCTTCCTACAACAAGCTCCCATGGGAGTAACTTCTGATGTAACTTAGGGGCAAACAGCTTTTTCTCCCCTAACTAGTTCATTTCTTCCTCATAATACCAATACCTATATACTTTGTCTTATTTCCCTTTTTGCTTTGGTTATCAGGAAACTCAGATTTCAATTATAATTGTGTTAATAATTAGTATTAGTATATCTGAATTCTCTTCTATTTTACTACTGGCTTTGTAAAACATATTCTACTGATAAAAATTCTTTTTACATAAATGTGTAAATATAAACAAAAGAGAAAGAAAAAGGCATTGACTTAATTCATTTTCCTTACAAAGCATTCTAATATTAACAGAAAAATATTTCTCAGGCATTCAATCAAAAATAATGTCATCTATCTATAGTGTATAGTAATTAGATTTTTCATTATGTAAAATATGACGCCCAAATACAAACTAGCATTTTTTTATGCCTTTTTATACATAGTTTTATCATGAAACTCAACAACTTAAAATGGTTTTCATCATTTTCTTTCAAAATATTTCCACTTGGCTTTAAGAAAAATAAACTAAAATCCTGGAGAAATTGGTCTTGCTCTTTCAAACTGTAGTATCTAATCTATTCGGTGGGGGAACAGAGAATGGGGATCAATGAATGCAGAAAGGCCCTTTATCCTTTCTTTTTAATATGAATTAACTTTGTCTTTCCTCATTTTAGGATCTACTTAATTTGTTATGTGTCTAGAAGTAAGTAAAGCCAAAGTGTAACTTTGTATGCCCTCCTGCCCCAGGCACGACGACTTTGCCAGCACCAAAATCAAGCTAGAGTACAGAAATGAATTTGATGGGTGCGTTATGAAACTGCACTTTCTTCTCCAGGATAATGAAAACATTCAAGGTGGAGAAACCTTTCCAAGCCCATAGACTCTGAGGGTCTGTGGAGATCTAGCTCGCACTAGGCAGAAATGCACAATGGACATCTCAAGCTTGGACTCGGTTTGTTCAAAGGAAGAAACAAGGTTTGAGGCATGGTGGTCAAACAGGTAATCAGTGGAATATGGTTGGAAAGCAAGGTTCAGGAGAGGGAGCAGAAAGAGGCTGAAATGGTAGGTTCCAAAGAGACCATCAAGGATGTTTAATGCTATTATTAAGGAATTGTAGACTTATTGCTGTAGGAAACAGGAAGCCACTGAAACTTTCCAAAGACAAGAAAGATATGATTAAGCTAAGTTCTAGAAAAATTAAAATGGCAGCAGTGGGTAAAATCATTTGGAGGGCCTGAGATTAGTTATAAAGCTACTGAAATATTACAGACAAGAGTTAATAAGGATGTCCACCCGATTAACAGAATGAATAGGAAGACTGGTAAAGGGAAGTGAGTTTAAATTCTGTAGGATATATTTAAAACGCCTTATTTTAACATTAAAAACTGGTAACAGATACAACTTTATGTACTGTATTACTTTTGTCCCTAAAACATTTCAGAATGTTGCTCTGCTATAATTAAAGGACAATTCTGGAGGTAAGTGTTACTCTACTTTTCACTCTTCTCTCTCAGATCAAGTCATCTTTTTTAAGATCAAGTCTCAATACACACACTTTCTCATGTACTGAATAGTTTATTTAATTGGTCGTGAGTAGTTTAGAGATACAAAACTTTATTATAATTACCTAACCACATTCTTATAAAATAACTATTATATTAAGCAGGTTGCTATAGAAAAGACAAGACATACTATAGAGGGTAAGCATATTTTTAAAATTTATTCTAAAAAAGCTAAAATTCCTCACTTTAACCTGAGCAATTCTGCACAAATTTGAGATAGAAACCAATCTAGCTCTCGCTTTCCTTGTCTGATAAACGAAATGTTCTCCAAGGTCCCTTTTAACTCTAAATTCCCTGGTCTACAGTGTTTTTTCTGAACTGCGTTTTTATTTTATTTTTTTTATCCTCACCCGAGGATATTTTTCCATTTTTTGAACAGATAGAGTGGAGGGGAGAGAGGAAGGGAGAGAGAGAGAGAAACATCGGCATGAAGGGACACATCGAGTGGCTGCCACCCACACGACCATCCAGGGCCGGGGACAAACTGCAACTGAAGTACATGCCCTTAGCGGGAACCGAACCCAGGTCTCTCCGGACGACGCTCTAACCGCTGAGCCAAACAGGCCAGGGCCTGAACTGCGTTTTTAAAATGTAATACATCCCACTAATGTGATTTCATCTTTCTAATAAAACGTTTACTGAAAAATAGGGATTCTGGTGAGAACTACAGGGATTAATGAAATTAAACTAAATGGGATTCATTACTGATTGGTTGACTTTTATGTTTTTTTTCCCTTAATTTAACATAAGAATAGCATGTTTGAGCTTCTCTAATCTTAATCAAATTATACATATATGAACTGACTTCTCCAAACTAATTACGTGATGAACACAGAAAATCACATATATTGTTACATTTAGCACTACACCAGTACTGCCAGATAATGTAACTAAAAAAAAATTTTTTTTTACATTTCTCTAACGACAATGAGGATGAAAGACATAAAAAAAAAAAATTCTTATTTTGGCATAAACAGTTTAAACTTAATGCCATGACATAAATCTAACAATTTAATCTCAAAATAATCAATTATTATCCTGGAATATTGTTTGACACTTTCAGTCATAATCTAAAATATACACATCCATTATTTGGCTTATTCTTTACCCCTACAACCATCTAGTGCTTATGTGTAGGCAGATTTCCTGGAAATACACTTCTGACCCTTTCAATAAATTTTCCATTTGTCCTTTTATGTAAAAATTTTACCCCAAATTTCTGCATCAAGTTTCTAGGCAGAAAAACATCTTAGAAACACATGTACTATAAACTATATTCTGAAAAAGAATATAAAATGATTAAAAACAGTTTTATGCATAGTTCCAGATTTTATCCCATATTTGAAAATCATGTAAACCTTTTAATTTTAGGCATAAAATTCTTAAATTGATACACTTAATAAAGAGTAATCCTTCTTTGTTGATATAATTCCAAGTAAAATAATAATGATTAATACCAATTAATATATACAACAGAAAATTAAAATATTTTCTGGTTGCAAAAAGTTATTTTGCTTAAAAAAGGAAAACTTTCAGACAAATATAAAAGTTGATTATTTTTTCAAAAGATATTTTTAATACTATTATTGGGAAAACTTCTAAAATTGAGAAATATCCCAACTAGTAAAGACTCAAGCAGTCTACAATGGGACTTCTAAGTATCAATGTTATTTCCTCCACCACTCCACATATATGGCACATATGTTTTTAAGATGTCTTCTTATATTGAAATGTAATGTAAATTTTTCTTCTCTCTTCCCTTTTGACAACCAATTCTTTTTCATTCACACCCAACCTCTGTTAAAAATTTTCATATGCACATATAAGAAATTCAGGATTGAGTGAGCGACTAGTAGAATTATTACATGAAGTTTCCTAATCAGAATTTTAAATAACATAATTGTGCAAAAGACTGAGAATTACCAATGATCTATTTTTACTTTACACACAGTCTAGCCTTTTAAACTAGGAAATGTATGTATTTTTTACAATATTTAAATGTGAACAAAAGCAAATGATCAGGACTCAAAATTACTGAAGATTGAAAGAAAGGTTGTCCTGGTAACCAAATATTGGTGGGGCACTAACTGACATCCAAGGCGACTAGCGGAGAGAGCGAGAAGATGAAGGCTTGGCATTCTCCGATCATCTCATTATTGTTCTAATGAGGAACTTTGCTCTGGGAATATCATCCCAGCTACTTTCACATCTTTTGTCCTACTCCCTTCATCCCCTTTCAGTTCTTAATTAGGCCTTAAAGAGCCCGCACTGCCCTTCAGCTGGCTACTGCTCCTGCTTAGACACTGCTTTCACAGACAGGTGTTGGCACCAGCGGAGAAGACATGCAAACTAATCACAAAATACTATGTCCGGAAGGGAAATAACTTGGTGGACGGCTATTATTGGAGAACTTAATGTAAATTACTTCAAACATCTTATAATCTTCAACATAAAATTGTTCAAATGCTTTTCCTCAAACGCGGCCAGTAGGAGGATGAGCTTTCTCCTCTTCATTGTAGCTTCAGTAAATTAACCACACCTGAGTAATCCTTTCACTGTCGTTTAGAATAGTTAGTATTCTAGAGAAAAATAATCACACATCAAGGATTCTTTTATCACCTTTAAATCCTTTAACTAAAACAATTTTCACATTTTATTTCTTTAAAGAATTCTAAGGATGCTTTTACAGCAATAAATTACCAGATTTGGAAAAATACATTTACAAGCACAGAAACTGTAATTAAGGTTACTTAATAAACAATAGCTACACATTAAATCGATTTTTTGATGTTTGCATTTTGTTTGAGATTAAGTAACTTGCCTGATAGAATTCATTTTACTATCTGATCAAAGGCTCACTTCATATATTCTGACATTTCTCGCCAGACTGCCATATTATAAAGACTAGAGTATTTATGAAGCATAAAAACTTAACAAATCATTTACATAAAATGGCAAAAACACAGTACAAAGTCATCTGCTTCTATAAGGTTTTCTACAATTTTAAAGAAATAACTACATTTAGAATGGTTTATATACTACCATGGTTTCTTCTGGGCATAGCTCATCAGAGAAAATTGTGATATGTTATTGCTTTAAAAAATTCTTATTATACATCTGGATCACACACATTAAGGACAGATGGTTCAAACAGCAACCACCAGTGTCTTGAAATAAAGGCTCCATTTCTGCTATTCGGTGAGAATTTAGTTTTCTACCAAGAACATGTGCCCATATTTTTGTAAAGTAACTTCTTCCCTAGGTTTAATATATTTAGAGTTGACTGAAGACGCAGTGGAACTCTGAACAAGATCCAAAACTGGACTTCAAATAATAAAATGAAGTTAAGATATCTGGATAATCTTTGCCAGATATGAGTTCATTTATCTGGTGGCTACCAAGCCCGTTAACATATGTGATTTTGTTCGGACTAGGAAGGTAAATGTCCTAAAGTTCTTTCAAATACTTCCTGGTTAACTGGATCTCTCTTGCCAGGATGCAAGATTGTTGAACATTAATAAGCAGTTTTATTATTTCTTCCATCTTTGACCCAACAACAAAAAAATGTTCCTTGCCTCCACATGCTCTTATTTCATAACAATAAGGTTGACTTTGACATACAGCTTTCATATTAATTTTAAAACAGTCTGCAAACAAAATATGTATATTCTAAGGAGGCTTCAATGATAATTATAACGTTTACCCGAAGTTCCATAAATTGTATACAAGTCACACCCAGTCATATATTAAAGATAAAGACTGAATTTTGCTTTTCTTCTTTCTCCCCAAATCATCACACTGAACTGGAACCCAGGCACTGCGGGACCCCGGGAGACGGACGCCGCTTTGAAAATGTGTGCCAGCGAGAGGGCTGCTGAGGTTTGTTTCTGGTCACTCTCTAACCCTCTGCAACTTACCGGGATCTTCCTGAGGTCTTCACTGCCTGTCGGATTCACGTGAAAACTGAGCAATAAAAGACAAACATAAATGTTAAAAATGCATCACAGTCCACGTGGGAGGAAACATAAAAACAGAACATTTTTAACCAGCATTTCAGTAACAATTTCTAAAGTCCTAAATCACTCCGATGAGTGAAATTTAATCCAGGATGTAGAAGAAAACCAATATTTACTCAACATTCTAAAGCAGCTACAATTTTAAACTTGGAAGGAAAATCCTTCAGTTATTATCAGAATTGAAGAACTTCACCTCTAAATGTATTGTTTCTAAACATCTTTAAGCATAAGCATTTCACCCACTGAGGTATTTAATAAAACTAAATTTGATTAATGTTATTATTTATTTTACATACACATACTCACCTTAGGCCTCCTAATATAAAACGATGGAAAATTAAATAAATTTAGGTTGGAAAGATTGTAGCATAAAAGAGTTAAAGCAAACTTTTCAAAAAAATTCCACAGGTATAAGAACAATTATCTTTGAAACACAGTCTATCAATGAGAATACATTCAGAGTGCTAAAAACCATTTGTCATTAATGTGATTTCTAAGTAGCTAGTCTTCAAAATTCAAATACCCAATGGACCAAAACAATGGGTTTCTCCTGTACAGGGAGTAGGAAAACATCACAGCTGAGTGCTATAATCATTTTCTTCTCTAAAAGATGTCCATTAGGAAGGGGACTGCAACCAAAAAGAAGCTAAACTTCAAAGCCATCTGATGAGTAAATATTTCATCGTTGCTATTCAAGTTTAATTTTTAGCCAGCACTTCAGAGTATTAGCCATTGTAACCACTACAAAGCATTACTGTCCTAGGATCCTTTTTACACCTCCCTCCAAAAGACTTAACAGTAAAGTATATTTTTTACATTATCTGTGTTTTATAAGCCAAATAATTGGAATCCTTTGAAGAAATTCACTTTCAGAACTTTGGACTGTGCGCACGCAAAGTTTGGACATTAGATACAATGTCCTGAAAATCATCTATTATTACAGGTACATATCCCAAGCTGTAAATCCACAGAGCACACAGGCCACGTACAACCACCTCAAAAGAATTTCTCACAGATCCAAGGTTTCATTTGTTATGACTAATATTTGTAGTGCTAGCTTCCAGAGCCAGTGGCTGACCTTTTCTAGCTAGGACGCCTATGGATAAATTTAGCATTTCACTAGAGCTGAGTGACATGTAGAAAAGATGAAACATGTTTCAAATACCTACAACACACCATTTCCAGGCAGAGACACCTGACAGTTTCTTGTTTCCTGTATCTTACCATTTTTACGGTGTCCTGTATAGTCCCAGACTAGACCACTCTACAGCAAAGTCTCACAAGCCTGACAGAAAGAGTGGCATAAAAGAAAACAAAAACAAAATCCAAAAAGACTTTATCAGAGTACACCTTGGCCTACGGTGCCACGGTAGAAGCTGCTAACACACGTGGTTCCCACCCTCTTGGATTTTCAGTCCAAGGTGGTCACCATCAGGGTCCAGTGGGACTCATCTCTCCTCCTACCATTATCTCCCAGCATGTTGTCTTCCAGCAGGTCAAGAAATACACTCTGCTGCACCTCTCTCCATCTGACCGTGATCATGTCCAGGACAAAATGACTGACATTCGGGCGTCACAGGACACCACAGTGGTTACAGCAGAGAAGTGGTTGAGGGCCCTGGAACCTGGAGGTGCAAATTCAAATCCTGCCTCTGCCCTATAACTGCTGTGTGACCTTGAGCAAGTTACTTAACTTTGATCATCTGGGATACTTTATCTGTAAAATGGGGATGGCAACAGTATCTACTATAAGACTACTGTGAAGAGTGCATTCGTTAACATGTAAAACAGCACAGGGACTGGCAGATAGAACGTGTTTAATATAGTACTTTATTTAATAAACAGTTACATAGCACTTAGACTGTATCAGATACTGTTCTAAGTATTTTCCCAAAATTAACCCATTTAAATCTTTATAACCCTTAAAGTAGGTATGATCTTTTCAAAATGAGGAAACAAGAGCCACAAAGAGGTGTGGTGACCTGCGTGTGGTCATCCAGTTGGTAATGGTAGGTGTCTGCACTGGAATCTGTCCTCCCACCTGGGGCACACAGCCCAGCTCTGGTCACTGCACACAGTGGGCACAGGTTGCCCTGGGAAGCCCTGAACATACTGGACACATGGACTGATCAGAAGGTGCACCTCACCTCATTCTGGACAAGCACACAGTACAGCTGCACTGGGAGGAGGTCAGGGGACAGCACTTTTGAGAGTGAAATTTTCAGACCACACAGAGGCCAAGGAAGGCCTGAGTCAAGGGAAAAATAGGATCTTCAATTTCACGAAGGCTTGGTCTGGCAAGCCAAAGAGCAGATCTCAAAACACAGAGCATAGCCGAGGGCCACTGGAAAGCAGTGTCTCCTCGGACACTAGAGACTGGAACACAAGGCCGCAGGGGAGGAGCCCTTGAAGGGTTTGATGGCAAAGGTGAAGCTCTTGGATCTGTTCACAGAGCAACAGGCACTTTGCCCACTTTTAGTCCTTCTTCCATAAATGCTATTTAAACATTTCATGTGCAGTAGCATAGTCCATCCCCTTACATCCTTGATGAATAAACAATATTACAACTATATAAATTTCATTATGTCTCAGGAAGAAATTACTGAACTAAGAAAGAGAAATACCAGTATTATATTTACTGTGATAGGAGTTTTTAAGAAACAGACATTTAGGACAAAGATTTCATCAAAATCGTAAAACTAGCAGTATGCAATGTCCAATGGCTTTGGCCTCTGGCACTAAAGTGAAACTCAGTGCCAACCTGTGTTTGAGAATTGTTAGAAAGACAAGGTCGCAGTGGTAAGGGATAGCGTGCTGGGTGCAGTGAGCCCCGCTACTTCCCATCCTACCTGTGTGTAATCGGAACCCTCTGACACTCAGCAATCCCCAGTGCAGATCTGAGGACAGGGCAATTGTGTGGGGTATTGTCTCAAATCAAAAGGCAGAACCCCTCCCTCGTGGTCGTCTTTATAGCCACACACTGACATGTCAAACACATGATGGACTCGGGCATTCACCGCTGCTTTTTTTTAATCTGTCCTTAAGGGGGGAAAAAGAGTTAACTGAACTGGATTGAATTAGCTTGGTGAAAAATAAAATGTCTCTATTTACTGAAGTGTGGCACCAATTTGTGATATCTTTCCCTTTGGACTGCTGTCCTCATGTCACACGAGATATTGAATAATATAGTCTGACTGCTCAACTGAGTTGTTGACAGGCTAAGGAACATGGTGTTTTTAATCAGGTAGAAAATGAACTTAGACACGCTCACACTGAAAGCAGTTTATACAAATTTAAACTTCAGAATTAAAAATAATTACTTGAGATCAGAACTGAAGGAGCATGGGGCTGGTGGGGGATTGTAAAGTAACTATTAAGTGGATACAAATCTTTTAACTTCATATTTGAAAAAGTTCTAAACTAACAAAAAGCTTTACTTTAATATTCTAAAGTTTTTAAGTAAAAGCTTATTTTTACTTTGTGATACTTCCAAATCTAAATGATTTTTGTAAGTAAACTCTAACATTTTGAAATTAATGAGACTCAAATATATCTTAAGGAATCATTAGTATCTCTCCTCTAACATCACTTATTGATTTGTTTTGTAGGATAAATACTGACTAAAGAAACAGGTAAACTGGTGAGAACTTGAAACTGTCCTTCAGTGTTTGCTCTGGGCTAGTCTTCTACAGACAGGTCTGAAAAGCAAACCAATCTATAAAGCGGTAAAACCAACCACTGCAGAAATCACTAATGCATTTGGCAACGATTAGAGTTTTTTCCTTTGTCCCTCCTTTTCTCTTTTTAAAACACAAATACAATCTTTTGGAGCAAGAATACCTAAGACAGGGAAAGGACTAATGAGAGTAAAAAGAATATGACGTGCTTGTCAAGATAAAAATAAAAACCCACAGAAGAACAAAGATCTATTAAAACTGATTAACTGTCTTGTTAGCATAAGACAATGCAAACTGCAAATTCCTGGCTCTAGGATTTTAAGTCTTTCAATGAGAAGTCAAAGTAACAACACTGGAAGCTCTTCTGAAGGCATTTCAAAACAAGTATCATTACATCTTCCATAATACCTCTTTCTAGGCCCCATTAGTGCTAAAATCATAAACGTAAGTCCATTTTGGCCTACAACGGGATCCATTTGGTATTTAGTAAGTGAATTCAAGCAACGGGAAAACTTCAGGCGGCGTCCCCCCTGGCTGGGGCCGCAGGGGAAGGACAGGGAGCAGAGGAGTGATGTTCCGAAGCACCGGTCCTTCCTTACTGTGTATGGGGAATAAGTGTAACTTTAAACTATCGCAGAACAACTCCTGACATTGATTATGTTCAAAGGGGAGTATCCCATTGATCTTCTTGTTGCACTGAGAGAGTGGGCTCTAGAGACCTGGGGCTTCACTTTGGTGACAAATGTAGCTGGGGGAGGGGTATAAACAGAACTGTAACATACCTAACATAACGTAAGGTAAGGGAACGGAACGGAACATAACACCTTTAATGAGTCTGAAAAGAGAAAAAGAAAAATGTCCCTTTTACAGTAAAGCAAGGGCAAAAAAAATTTTTTTAAGACAATAGGCCTAACAACTGATATTTTATTGGACTTTAACCACAGTACCTACCAGGAGCCACTCTGAGCACTTCACATGTTAATGTTAACTCACTCGATCTATGAGGTGAGTGCTATTTTTACTTCCATTTACAGAAGAGGAAAAAGACACAGAGGAGTTAAGAAACTTACTCCAGGAAACACAGTTATTAAGTGATAGTAGGATTCAAAGAAAGGCAACCCAACTCCATAGCCAAGCTCTTAGCCACAAACTTCTTCCACGTAGTGTACCATTCAGTCCAGTCCTACTGTGAGCTGGCTTCAAGGAGTCCGATATAATTTCCTGGGAATTCTTCCAATCAGCAATGACTACGAAAAGCCAAGACAAAGAT